GTTGGCCGACGTAAGCCGCCCGGTGTCGCTGGCTGCTCGCCGGAGGGCGGGGAGATGTCGGGGACCTCCCCGTTGTGAGGACGAAAGTTTAGGAGGGTGCTCTTGCAAAGATGCTGACTGTAGGAATAGTGTTGTCTATAGACGCGTAGTAGTCGGTTCCGCCCGAGGACTCTTTTGCTAAATGGCCGGCGCGCGCGGCCTCCTCCCGCTGCAGGCCGTCTTGCGCGTGCGTGGGCCACGTCCTGGGCCGCGCGGGGGCGCACGTGGGCGGGCCGCGCCGGTGAATTTGATTTCCTTTTTAATTAGAAAACAAATTGGCTTATTAATTATGCGGTAGAGCTGAACTTTGGAAAATCATATCAAATCATGTAGATGTCCAAAAATGGTGAAATAAATCCTGTTAAGTTCCTAAAAAGATTGTCTATCTGATAGTATGGTTAGTTTATACATGTATGTGTCAATGCTAAGGTCTATTAAAACATTTGAAAGGGTTTAATATTATTTAGAAGAGGATTTGTAGGAATTCTTATGGCAACTTGGTAATAGCTACGACCATGAAACTTTTACAGTACCTTCATTACATTATTATGCATCCTCTGTAATTTTTTATAGCCATAGGTTAGGTTGATAAAAAGGGTAGCTAAGTTCTCCTTGTTTTACTATATATATTAAAACATGAATAAAAAGAAGGATATGCACTTTAGTCGCTAAATAATACTTGGCTAGGGGAATACATGTTTTGTAGAAATAATGAGTAGCTTAGCATCTTAGTCATTAGAGTTAGCTTAGTAACTTGGTGGGCGAAGTAATATTGTTAGAACTGTTGTTGTCATATTACTAAGTATTGCGTTGCCATTTCATGCATATAGATAACGAGTTAGTGGAGTTCGTGACCGCGGGAGAACAAGAGTTCGAGGAGGTGATCGAGGAGTACGAGGAGGAGATCTTCGTGCCGGAGGAGTTCCAGGAGCTGCCCGTGACTGACACCACTGACGCTGCACCTGCCCAAGGCAAGCCCCGGTGCATAACTCTTATTTGAATAATCACTGAGAATATATATATATATATGATGTGCATTTACGTTACAGGCGTTTTATGGAAACTACATGCATGAATATATCTACCTATGAGTCCTACTAGTATAGGTCGAGTAGTTGCTATGCTCAGGATGGCGGTAGTGTGAGTAACCTGCCGTTACTCACAATGGGTGACAATTGTGATCACTCATGATAAAATAGTGGAAAGGAAAATAGTGGTAGGCGGGGGATTAGGCATGGGTTTTGGGGGTGTGATAGGGTGTGTTCCGCGGCCACGGGGCATGACTTGGTTGCACTGTTTTCCCTGTCTGTGTCGATTAAGGACCGTTTGTGGCATGGAACCTGGTCAAGTCACAAATTTATTATCCCGAGCACATACTTGCTTATGGGAGCGGGAAGACTTGTTCCTCTCTTGTCATGGGTTCCCGCTCTTTCCGGACCGACTGTTATAGGTGGATTATGGGGTTGGAGTTCTAAACACCGCAGCTGAGGTCGGGCCTCAGGTGTTGGGAGCTTGGAGTCCTAGTTTGGATGGGGACCTGGACCCCGTGACAGGAGGGTAGTGGGTTGGTTCTGCTCGTACAATTTTTAGGCTACGAGCAGGCGTGTGTGTTTTCAGCGGTACCCAGCTAGGCTACATTGATTCGTGAATCGCCATTTCTACGTGACGGTACGGCTTGACTACGCTCTGGCACCGTAGTAAGAACTGGCATATGAAAGATGGAAAAATGGCTCTGATTTCTCAACCATTGCTTGAACATAGAACATGTGCTTACCTAGAATGTTGGATGATGAATAAAACATGACTGCTAATAATCTAAGGACACACTCTTAGTGCTGCTTTCCGCAAAATAAGAAACCCACAAGCCATAAAGCCTATCATAATCCTTGAGAGTCGGGAAATATATTCCCTAGTCGGGTAAGTCTTGCGAGTATATTGTGTACTAAGAGTTTATTTTACCCTTGTTGTAGGTGCACCTTGAGAAGCTAAGACTTGTGTGGAGGATTCCTCTGGTGGGCACAGATGGATCCTTATATCATATCACTAGATGTTTATTTTATTTTCCGCTGTTTAAATTATCGCACTCTGAACTCTGGTATTGTAATAAATAATTTCTAAGACTCTATGTTGTATGAAATGGACTAAGTATTGTAAGCTTGTACTCATTATTGGATCCTGGATGAAAAATGTGGATTGTTCGAGTTCTCCCAGGGGGTGTGTTCGATGAAACTGCTCGATCTAGCTCCCTTTCGGGGTACTTAGTGTCTAGTGGAAGACAAGTGTCCCCGAAAGCGTGTTAAATCGGACGGTTCTGCCACAACACCCTTGCACGGGTGCTCCAACGAGGACTAGTGGGGAGTGGCGACTCTCCGATATCTCGGAAAAACATCACCGTATTTCTCTTCCTCTCTTTACTTTGAGCATTTACATTTGAGCAATTCAATTCATGTCTTTATATTCTTCGAATTGCCATGCTAGAGTAGGATTGGAACCTAGAGTGCAAAACTTTTGTGCGGTAAAACAATAGAAACATTTGTAGGCACAAGATGGTGAAATGGGCTAAGCGTAGGTCTTAATTATTGCAAGAAATTTAGAATTAGCCCAATTCACATTCTCTCTTTGGGCATCTTGATCCTTTCATGTGGTCTGTCTGCTTTTGAGCCATGCTATAATTTTCCATTCCAATAAAAATCACTTCAATTTTTTGATTGTCAATACTATCTTTATGAAGTTCTCGTGATGGACGAATACATTGTTTGGCCCACTTTGTTCTTGACCAACAGTGAGTGGCTACAAGTAGAACAAGTTGAACAATTCTACCTACTGATATAGTCTTGTTTCTGAATGACTGGCCTATAATGTTTCTGCAACTTAAAGTCTAGAGAGCGCAATAATAACAACTATACTGTGTAATGTTCTTGCATACTCTAGATGGCTCATATACACTTTATTTTTTCACCCATGCTGCAGCACATTGTTACAACTGAAAACTATGGGCCGTGGATACAAAAGACTGATTGCTGTTTTTCAGGTGCAGGTAAATAACAAGTACTCGGAGGAATCTATCTAGTATGAAATTGATCCTAACATGTGCAAATAGTACCAATCAACATGGAGGCACCTTCCTGGCTCCTTGCTTACATCGAGATGCAAAATACTTGAATGTTACCACATGTATCATCACTTCATTTATCAAATTGTAAGCGACGACAAGTAGGCACTTGATGATGAGCTTGTACGAAGAGCTTTGTAAACTCTCCTTGGATTCCTGGAATGAACATTATGGAATTTTCTCCAAATGGCATCATCATATTGCTTGACGCCAATGTTGTAGCAATAGCAGTAGCATTTGAGTTGAACTGCCCCTGAACCAATTTATATTCACCCTGTTTGCTGGATGGTTTCTGGCTGGCTTATTCAGGTTGATGCTGATTTGTTGTGAGAGAAAAACAGTGCTAAATAAGCGCTGATAAGCACAAGCAAACATGGTGATTGCTATAATGTAAAGGCATTACAAACTCAAATAAATTGTTACGAAAGGAAGACGTGGGGGAGCAAGAACTGGATTGCAAACATGCGCATGGCGTTGCGGCAGCATCTGCTTTGCTTCGATCCATCGTAGCTGCGCTTAACAGGTGACCAACGCTTCGCTAGCTGCTGCTGCTTGTGGCTTCCGATAGAAGGATGGAGCCTTAACGTGGAAGTGACGGCCGTCAAATGAGAATAGAAAAAGAGTTGAAAGGAAGCAAAGAGGAGCATGTGCTTTGAGATTGTTGACACGCACGTGTCGTCTGGGGGCCAAGGTCCTCCACGATCCATAAAGGACCGGGTCCTCTACAATTTGCCTCCCTCACCTCGGCGTGATGAGATTGTTAAATTATTTTTCAATATTAGCTTAACTTTATATTATTTTTGTTTTGATTTTAGTCTTGGATACCAGCTAGATCGAAAATATTGCTGTAGGAATATGTTGTTGTTTAATATAAGAGTAGCGATATTTTCGAATTTGTGATATTCGAAACTAAAAATATTGCAAATAATTTAAATATCAATTAAATTAGTGCAGTCAAGAATGGTCAACGGCAATCAGTTTGGTATCAAAAAAACACTCAGCCACGGAGTGGCACAGGGGAAAACGGAACTTTATCTTGCATCTCTAGCTAAGGGCATTTAAGTCTTTTCATAGCTCCGTTAGCCACCGTTAGCGGTGAATGTGGATGGAATGGCGTGGACGATAAAAGAGTTCTGGCCGATGGCACCTGGGTGAGTTCGATTTTTTAATAATCTGTAGGTAACGACCATATTTTATAATGGCATACAGATAAAACCCTCAAAAAGAAACGCTGGAGTTGGAAAGAGCAGGGTAGGTAGAGGGAAGGAGTTGACCAACGCGAATCACAAGGTAGAGGGGAGGCATTGACCAACGTGAATCACAAAGCAGCAATGGGTGGTGGAAGATAAGGTGGGCGGCTGCATGCCGTTGTGGAGACGTGTTTCTCCACAAGGTATCAAGGGTTCATCTCTTGGATATGGTCTACTAAACGATTTGTGTACGTTCCTTGACATTGGAGAGTGAGAATCAGACTATTTTGCTTTATATTGCTTTATCGCAAGAGATGTCATTGTCACTAAACATAGTAGAAAATATACTACTACGCTCTTAAAGACTTTCATGGTAATTAAAAGCCCTCAAAGAGTATTGTACGATACATGAGTCTTCGGTGTCACCACATAAATGGTAGAGCGAAAATTAAGATAACTCGGTCGGATTGTACAATTGCAAAAGGCAATATCACCATACATTTAGCACTAAACAAAAAACAGCTAGACTTTCATGACAAAGTAAAGCAAGTCCTCAAGCTACGAAGAGATACCAAGTTGTCTCTTGCAGACAAATTATTCAGACGCATGATAGTAGTGATGGATACCAAGGGGGTATTGAAGCAACGAACCAAACTTATTCAGAACACTCCCTCAATGGTACCATCGCTGCCATTAGACATGTGGCGTCTTGAATTGTGCTTGATCATTTGGAGCTCCACTTTCCCCTTGCTGCCAATGCCTCCGCTAAAGGTGTGATTGGCTGTACCGTAGGCGTCATGGATACATGGCACCACATCGATACCAGTCAAGACAGTGAAATATTCCTCATCAACTGGATCATCATATTCCGAATCAGAGAAGGCCATGGGATGCAGTAGACCACGGAAGAAGAACCTTGTGATGCAGAACCGGCCAGAGCCCAGGTTGACAAGCTGAGGAGGCTTCAGCTGCCTCCAGTCTCCAGGTGCCTTGAGCTCCTTCCAAGTGCCTATTAGCTGTGGCTGGGAGTCCATGGTGGACAGTTCAGCAGCGCCCAGTTGCCAGTCCTGGGCGCAGATGCCAAACCACAGCTTCAGCTCCGGCACATATTCGACCTTGCCTGTGAAGGGTAGCACCCAGTCGCCGACATGGCTCCAAGTGTGTGTCACCGTGTCCAAGGAGTAGGTGCCAGCACCATCCACTGATACAAAGATGACATGGGAGCCACCTCGTTCAACCACTGCATAAGAGGTGATGTCGGGGCCCCTGTGCTTGCAGTGCTTAGGGTCACAGACGAATGGCGGCGGTGGAAGGAGCTGCCTCTGCCAGGACTTGGACTCGCTGTGGTAGACAAATGCCTCAAACTGATTGCTCAGCTGCTGTCTGGTGTCGTCGTCTCCCTGCAGCTCCTGATAGGGAGAACCCTCCAGGATGTAGAAGCTGCCATTGCCGTCTTCGGTGGCATCAGAACTGGATGGGAGGGGGACAAAGCAGGGCAACGGCGAATGCTTGGGCACATGGAGGTAGGGAATGGCCTCCACCTGGCGCAAGCCCAGGTCGAAGAGGGCAGTACGGGCAGATGGGTCCACACACAGCAGCTTACGATCTGAAAGCGGCAAACACTTCAGATACCAATAGCAGTCTACGATTGAGCATCGAAAGTTCATGACTGGTTGGGGAAGTTCAATCGTCCGGATCGTTCTTGTTACTGAAGCTGCTGCCTGCTTCCGGACGCATGTTTCCGTTGAGTAGCCCATGGCAGAGGCTCCGAGGTTGATGCTTTGGGCCGGAAGCGGGCTCTCCATTGCATCAACCCTTCGATCCGCAGCCTGGAAGAAGTGAAGCCGTTGGTCCTTGAGATCGGAATCTGATGTCCGCTTGCTGAGGCTGGGGCTGGGAAGCCGAATCTTGTTCAAAGCCAGGGCGTTTCCTTTGGGTGCTGGCGTTGTTGTGTTGAACAACTTGTGTCGCCTCAGATCAATGGAGCACAGCGATTTGGCTCCCTGGATGCGGTTGTCCACGATCAGATTCAGAAACCGACGCGAGAGGCCCATCGTCGGTGGATTCAGTCGTCGACTTCAAAGACATCGAAAAAAAAAACAAATCATTACGGATAAGAGGTGGAACAAGAAAAGATTTTTTCCCACCCCGTTCCGAGAGGAAATCTCGTCTGCTTGAGTATTAGCTGCCTAGCCTAGATCTAGCTCTTGTGAGGAACGAAGGAAGAGTACCTACCACCAGCAGCAGCAGAAGCAGGCAGCAGCAACCAAGCACCTTCCTTCTGCTGTCTTTCCTTGCGAGCGATCCAGCCAGGTAGCAGCAGCCCGCAGCGATACCTTTACAAGAAGATAACGAAGTTACCAGAGGCCCTTGTTTGTTTAGTTACTCTAAAATTCAAACTTTGACATTACGTAAAAAGAAGATTCTTTGTCATATCAAATTTACGGTACATACATGTAGGAAGTACTACTTACCTCCGTTTTCATTTACTTGTCACCAATCTTTTACTGTAGCATATTTGACCAGCTGTTTTTTCTTCTAGAAAATCTTAGATACTTTAAAGTATATAACATTAATCAAGTATGTAAAATGAAGAATCATATATGTGAAAACTTGATGTATCTAAAAATCTTTTACAAAAAAAAACGCATGGTCAAAATTGCTACAGTAAAAACTCGATGACAAGTAAATGAAAACGGAGGGAAGTAAATGTTGACGAAATCAAAAACTAATTGCACAGTTTAGTTATACTTTGCGAGACGAACATTTTGAGTCTAATTAGTCAACGATGGAACAATTATTACCAAATACAAACGAAATGCTACAGTGCGCTACAGTGCAAGCAAATTCCGGCGGCGCCAACTTCGCTAGCCAACTAACGGCGTGTTTAGTTGGGTGGATTTTGGAATTTGGTTTACTATAATACTTTCGTTTTTATTTGATAATTAATGTTCAATTATGGTCTAATTAAACTTAAAACGTTCGTCTCGCAATTTCTAACTAAACTGTGCAATTAGTTTTTTTTTCGTCTATGTTTAATGCTCTATGTACGTATCGTAAGAATCGATGTGATGGATACTGTAGCACTTTTTTAGAATTTGGCCTGGGAACTAAACACGGGCTAAACGGGGATGAAGATGAAGCAGATCTGCAGGCTGCTGCTGACCTGTGGCCGCTGGAGAATGGAGGCGACGGTGCGGAGCTTCTGAAACCAGATCGGAGCAGAATGGGAGCGGAGCGGCGGCGGGGGTGGGCGTCGCGAGATAGGTCTGGAGTCTGGACGGTCATGCGTGGGGATATTTTACAGGAATCTTCTGGGCTGTTCGTGGGCTATTTTCTCCGAGGAAGCATGGGCCGCTTCTCAGGAGCCAGCCTATGACTAGACCGGCTAAATTAAGCGCTGATGGGTCAATCTCGTCAATTGGTGCTGGCGAGATGTTTTCGTTTCCCCGATGGAAGGACGTTCACGACTCAACTCCGTAACTCCCTGCCGTGGAGATGTAAATCTAGCATCCCGAAAAATCAAAGATTTTTAATTTCCATCATAAATATTAATATTTTGTTAAATATATTTGGTTAAACTTATAAGTTGTTGATTTTTTGAGAAGTGAGAATGACTCTTTTTTAGAGACGGAGAGAGTATATATCAACCTAAATGCTAGATTTCGGGCGCACGCGTTAGGGGTGTTTGGCTGTAGAAACTAAAATTTAATAGGTGTCACATCGAATATTACCTGGGGTGTTTGGCTAATAAAAAAACAAATTACAGATTCCGTAGTAAAACTATCAAGACGAATTTATTGAGATTAATTAATCTGTTAGCAGCACTTTTTTACTGTAGCAATTAGTGTCTAATTATGAACTAATTAATCTTAAAAAATCATCTCATAAATTAGTCTCAAGATATATTTTTATTTTTATAAATAATCTATATTTAATACTTGGTACCTATCTCAAACATTTTTTTTATATATGCTAAACTTTAAACTTGAGTCCGCGCAACGAAACACGCCGTTAGCGCTCGGGAACGCGCAGCCGTCGCTGCCGTCCGATCTCACATGCGGTTAGCATTAATCATATACTGCTACGTGGGGTCACGGGAACATCAGGTCAACACTCAGACGTCGATTCCCCATTTCCTCTCTCTCGTTCTCTCTCCTCGATTCCTCCTCTCTTTCCGTTCCTATCCTCGATTCCTCCTGCAAAAATCACCGGCGAATCGAGCCGTCACCAGTGTATAGGCCTTCAATCACTGACGAATCTAGCAGCATCCAGCGATGAGGGGAGAAATCCCTTCGAATCTGGGTGGACGCCGGCGACGAGCGCTCATGGGCGGAGGTAACAGGAACGATTTCGCCCATGATTCATGGAGAGGGATTCGTGAAGGTTCGAGTAGGGTCGCGGCCTCCGCCGTCGCCGAGGATCCAGATCTCCTAGACTCCATGGGTTTGTAAGGTACGTAAGGATTCTCATCACTTTTTTTCTTCCATAATCCCCCGTTCTAATCCCAATGAATCTCGCATCAGCGGGTCTCCAATTGCTGGTGAATCTTGTAGCAGCTGGGTTTCAAATCACGGTCAATCTCGCAGCAGACTATGAACTGGCACTGACGGAGGTAGCGGCCATTGGCATCGAGGTTCCAATGCTACCAGTGTAATTTCCCAGCTTCAGTTAAGGATTCTCCCCCTTGTTCTCATGTCATTTTTTTGGTTTTGCTTCAATATCCGTTCCAAAATCCTACAGCATACTTGAATATTGATTCTCATGTCTAGCTTCCCAGTTCCTAGATTATCCATCTACTTTTTCTCCTGAAGTATGCTCGTTTGTTTAGGTGTGTTTAGGGATAGGGTTTCAATTGAAGTCGCTCCCCATTTCTAACATTATTATTATTTAGTAGTTCATATGTGTACTAATATTGTTCCTACTAATCTTTTAAATTAGCTAAAGAAGTAACATTAGCTGTGACATTATGGTGCAACCAGGGTCAGATCAATTAACATGTGTTAACTTCTTTTTGTTAGAGCTTAGTTTGAGCCTGATGAAGATAGTGGCTTTTGACATGGTGTTTCCAATCTCCTGGGCGAAATAGTCAGGTTAGTGAGGGTTCTTTCTTCTCAGTTTTTGTTTACTGTGATGAATATATTTTCATTAGCCATGACTTTATCTTTTAGATAGATTAGTGTACTGAATTGTAGAGCAGTATTGAAATTTCAGTCATGCATTTTTGTATGATACTATAAGCGTTTAACAAACGCAAGCACATTGTGCACAATAGATTGAGGATTCTTTTCTATTGCCACCTTTTCAAATTTCATAGTACCTTTGATAAGTGAGCCTTTTTCTGTATCCTTGTAACTTAATTAAGTTGTCATACCTGAAACTTAATTAAGCTCTGAATATTAAACGGTTAGAACAAGTGATGACGTTAGCTGAGTCACCCCTGCAGCTTTTCTAAACAGAATTTTGATGCATTACAAAGATTTCAATACTAGGATTGTCAGCACTAGGATTTCATGCCTAGGATTGTGATTACTGTTAATGAAAAGCTAAAAAATTCCGTAAATATTCAGCTAACAAATTGCGCATATTGTTCTTCAGGGCTCTTGTTATAACATCTGTTCAATGATTATTAATCTGAATACCCTGTATTGGTGTAATGGTGCTTTGGCATTGGAACACACAAAACTGGTGACTTTTGCCTCCATTTTTTTCTGCAATTTGTCATCCTCCTGTATAATGTGTTGTGGTTGCATATAGCTGGAGGACATACACCACCTTTCAATTTCTTCCTATTTTAGACTGATGATTGTTACTATCAAATTGGTTGATTTCTTTTGCGAGAATTAGGCTCTACCAATAGCAGAACTGGTTGATTTGTTTATGCCAAATTATGTTCCAGAATTTTAAGGGAGAATCCAGCAAGGAAGAGTTGTGATAGGGGTGCCCTTAGATGGAGATTCCCGCTATGTTGTCTGATGCTGAAGAGGCCAAGGTGAGGATCAACATACAGTTCTGTGTTATGGAGAGCACGGGGCACAACAATTTAGCTTTCTTCATGACGTCAGTGCCATGACCCATCTTCACAACTGAGGTCCCACAAATTTCATTTCATAGCCCACTTATGCTAAATCAACAAGCAATTTGATCATTTTGGTTTAGCATTTTTGTTTTCTGATTTTAGCATTTTTTAGTGTTCTAATGATCTACCAATGATGATGTGCCAATCCATGCTTCGGTACTAGTGGATGGGGCTTCAAGACTAGTTTGTGTATGCTTAGATAATATAGATCCTTAGGTAAAGAATTTCTTGTTTGATTGATGACTTCATTTAGGTCGGTGGTAATTTTATCTGTGCACACACAGTCACCCTTAACACATGATCCAATGCACCTGCTCCAGCCAACACTGTCTCTCATTTGTCTCCTCCCTTTTCTCTCCCTTGCAACGTGCTCGCCAGACACCCCCTCTCCCTCTCCGTCACCGCGGTGGTAGACGTTGAGGACGGGAGCATCCTGCGTGTCTATGGCTGCCCCAGCGGGTGGTGCCTCCCTCTTCTACAAGGCGGGACAATGCGGCGACGCCCTTCCATTTCATGCCGCCCCTCCCCAGGCGACCCCGCTTAGTCACCTCATGCTCCGCCTCTCCATCGTTGCCGTGGAGGTCTAAGGCACCATCGACGAGCTGCTGTGCTAGGTGGATGCACAATTTGAGGGCAAGTCTCATGCACTCTGCAAAAGTAGATTTGCGTGGCGTCGTTGTGTGCTCTCAGGCTGGCACAGGACCCCGGATCTGGCTGGCGTGGTGCTCCTCACCGTGTCACCATCTTGGATCCTCCTTCAAGCAGGGCCACATAGGCATAGCTGATCTAGCTTTACAGTCGACCTTGCCCACCTAAATGTGAACCATGTGCCACCATTTCTCCTTGTGCCAGCTATCGACTGCCATTTCTAGTAATATCGTCACTATTATTGCTTAATCTAGTACACTATTTTGCCTAATTTGAAACAATATAATTGCTTTATTCTTAACACTATTTTGTCTAACGGATGAAATA